TTTATACAAATTATTTTCTTATCTTAGACTACAAAAATATATGAAATGGGTTACTATTACATAACCAGATGACTTCACATCTTGTTGGAGTTATTGAGCTTATGCGGGATTTTTCTTCCTCTTGGGTCGGGATACTGGCCTAGACCAACAGCCTTTCAAGCTATGTTCTTATCTTCCCATGGAAAATATGTAGTTTAGGGCACACGCACACATTGTACAACAAGCATTTTAACTACAATAGCTACTAATTTTAGTTAGGAAATGGTTGATTTCTATGTTAAGGACCATTCAATCTGCCTCACACATGAGGCTAAGATGTTTTATATTTATTTCCAAAATATAAAGCAGAAATTTGACGTTGTCTTAATTTAATAGCTAAAATTAATAACAAGATAGAAGACAAATGCCAAGTAAGTTAACAAAAGCCACAAATTAAATCACTTGAATATTGACTTTATTGTCATGGAAATTTCCTAAAGGTAAATAAGCACAAGTTCTTTTAAATAAGGATGGTGACACTCTCTCCTTCAGAAAAATTCTAAGCACAAGATTTTTGTGTGAATTTGGAAAAAAGAGACAGGTATGAAAAGACAAAGAAAAGAAAGGAGTTTGTTTAATATGCTATTTGACATGAAAAGAAAAACAGAGTGAATGTGTTGCTGAGTCTTTATTGAAAATATATGAAAGTGGTATGTAGTCCTGAACTCAAGAAAAGGAGACTTGTCCTCACAATTCTACTTGAAACATGAAAAGTACATCAGTTCAGAGGCACTATAAAGTGAGTAAAATGTACTTATTCATAAGAATCTTGAAAATGTACAGGACGGAATAGGACAAACATTGATAAAAAGAACAAGGTTGTAACTGTTCCTTATTTAAGACATTGCCTGTTAGGGAACTTTAAGGTTATCCGTTATGTCTAGAAGAATGTCTATCATTTCTAGATACATATTTCTAATTTTACAAAGGAAATTATAGGATTTGGGTATGTTTAAGATGCATATGTGTGTGTACATATATAACACATATATATATATATATATATACTACTTATATTAGGTGATTTGGACAAGCATAAAACTCAGGATAAGATGACTAGACATCTAGAGACTATGGCATATAAAATTGACAGACAAAGGTGTGTCCTCCACATGCAGTACTTTAGGCAGATAAGTCAAGCTTTAAAGTTATTCTTGGGTTTTTAACTTTACTGTGCCCAGGAAGAAATACAGACTTCTAACCCTGTGTAATTTTCAGAGTGATGATGAAGCATGTACCATAGTTTAAATATACAACTATGATTAGTAACTAATGGATTAAGTACTATGAATGTCTTACTATTTATTAATCACACACAGATTACGGAATATATAAGAAGACACTGAAATTAATCTAAATTTAGATGATATTTAAAAGTATATAAAAATAACTAAGAATCAACTGAAAACTATTTTACTGAGAAAACATTACCTATTTTATTGAATTCAAATACAGTGATAGGGCTTAAAGATTTTCTTAATGAATACTTTAATTATTGTCAGAAAGTTTTATGTGTTTGGTGACTAAAAATATATATGTATGTAACATATCTTGAACACAGTTAGCCATGGTTATCTAGCTACCTAGCTAAGATATGTGTATGTCCTCCTAATACTGACTCTTAAAGACACCCTTCAATCATATTATTTTAGAGTTGAGAAAACATACAAGATAAACATCCTAAAATTTAGCAAAATGTATTTACTTTTTAAATAAAAATTTACATTAAACATTAAGAAACACTGCTATTCCTCTTAGTCTATCTTGGATTTAGAGGAACATAAGCTATTGCAAGTCAATTATTCACATGCTCATTAGAATAAAACACAATTTCATGCTTTTCATGAAGAACAAAGCGGTAATCAGTAGATATTTCTGTGTGTTAACTTTGAAGATAGAAGTAGAATTTCAGTCTAGGATTTTCAGTTTACTAATCTGTGGGTATTATTAGTGGGTAAAATACTTTATTGCTTCATATTTTAATCAGTTACATCATTTAATGTTTATTATGAGAAATATATATAATGACTCAAAATATTTTACGCATAAAATTTCTTGGAATTATATATATATACACACATGTATGTATTTATGTATGTATGTCTTTTTACCTAATTATCTCTTGTCCAGTGAGGTTAATATCTCATGTTTCCAATAAACAGACATGACTTAAACATAAGAAATTTGTATAATTATTTTTAAATATATACTTAATTATTTGTAAGTATATTATAGACAATGAAATGTTAAGTCTATACTGTATAGGCATAGTTATAGCAAAACTTAAAAATAAAAGTTTATTAATCTAAGAAATAATTGTCTCCTTTCTACAAGAGAATACAAAATACTCTTATTCTATAATTGTATTTTATTGAATGTTAAGGCCATGTCCAATTTTTAAATAGTTCTACTAACCACCAAAATGTGGAATAAATAGACATGGGTTAAAAGAGGAAGGAAAAAGACTAAGCAATAGAGAACCTAGTGAAAATAGTTTTAGTTAACTCAAAGTCTGTAGTTCTAAGGAAATAGAATGTTGGGAAGTTAAAGTTATAGGTAGCAGTCAATTTTACATTATTCTAGACATGAAATTTGAAAATGCATTATCATAATAGAACCTATTTCAAAAAGTATAAATGATAATGTTTAATGAATGTATGATCAATGGGTTTAATATTAGCATTGAAGGCATATGAATAAACTAATGTCAATATGAATATAACAAGAGTATGTTGAATATGAAAATATATACATATGTTATTTTTAATTTGATGCTTTGAAACCTGTTGATCAAGAAGGCAAGCACACACTCCTGAAGACAAGTGAGCTATTCAAAGGCAGAGAGTCTAGGATCTAGAATGTAGTGACTTATTTTGCCTTAGAGAAAAAGACATCCTGCCATGGAAAGAAAATCTTAACCAAATGAAGGCTTATCTCAACAGAGAAGGGTTGAGTATCAGTTTCAAATACAACCCAGCTCATGAGAGAGACTGGTCAAACCTTGAAAAAGTCAATGTCCACTCTAAAATGTGAAAAGAAACAAATGGGTTTGTAGGGGATGTATTAAGCTACTTTACACATTTCTAAACAGCTCCTACATCATTTTAGTGAGCATTATCCAGTGAACCAAACTGAAGATTTGAAAACAAAAAGTAAGCAATGGAATTAGTCAAGTAAACTATAAAAATAGTATACTGTAGGTGTGCAGCCATACCATGGACAACAAGCACAGCTATGTGGATGGAAGGCTGATGTCTACCATCCACATTTACACGGTTTATGTGAGGTCAGCCAGGCTTTGGGGACATGAGCAACCAGAAGAGAGACAGGGTTATTATTGACCAAATTACAGAAACTCTCTCTTTAAGCACTAGAGATCTTAGATCAACATCATATTCTAATCTCCTTGAATAGAATTAAGCTCTGTAATAATGATGAGTTATGTCCCCCTTGATCCCAAATACTGAGATGTATGTACTTCCACACAATAATCTGACTCTGGAAGGTTATGGAGACAGTCACAGGGAGATTATCGATCGGCACACTAAGAAAAAAAATGCCTGTAAGAAAACTGGAGCAGCATAGGTTTGTGAGACCACATGTGCTTAAGGAAGACCTGGAATTGTTTGCCCTGAGGAAAATGCTCCTGACACGGTGAATTGTTGCATGCTGTAATGGTTTGCTGAGGCTGCACAAATTCCAATCCTTACTCTGTAAAGTGGGTGAGATTCAGACCTGCTGCTCCTGCTGACTGTCGCTGTATTTTTCAGTCAGCTGGAACTGCCAAGTCCCTATCTAGCCCTGTGAGTTTAATTGTAACTGTTACTGCAAGCAGCGTTTTCCAAGTAGCATTTCTGGCTCTCTACATTTAACTGGGACTGTCACATCAACGCACATTTTGAGTACATGAAAATATGAAGGAAGAGTTTGTCATTGGGAATCTTGTTGATGGATCTGAGTACATGTACCTCGGAATTCCAGATTCCTATGCCAGTCGAAGATGCTGTTAACCAATGGTGTTTATAATATATAGCAGTTGTAAATAATTCACACTAATGAAGTATTTAGCTGTAACAGAAAGTATGAGGTACAAAATACTCAGGCAAATTAAGCCCTTCCTCTATCTGCCATGCCAACTAAATATACTCTCTTAATATCAGAACAGAAAAGTTGTTCGTTAAGTTTGGATACTTGCCCATTTACTGTGGTCTAAATCTGATTATGTACATACTCAAACTATGCATGCATACACACATACCTATACACTTTTTCTTTAAGGACATTTGAACCCTTAAAACAGTTTACAGTACTATGAATTAATTGATAAATATAGTAAGGCCTTTGATTCTGGACAACAGTATTTGAACAGTTTACTACGTTAAATAAAAGAACTCAATTTGCAGGTTAAGATATTTTTGTGTAATACAATAAACAACCCATATGGATTTAGGTAAGAAACCCATCCACTTCCTTCTAAACTAAAGAATCTAATTGATCCTTGAACTTAACAATGCTTAGGAAAGCAACACCTTTTCAGTTTGCCAAGACAAATCCCTTGAGGAGTTTATTTTCTTATAAAGCAGCTGTAAAATTATTAAACTAATCTGAAAGTATGACTTCACAAAAGTACATTATAAAGTGTCAGACAAACTTTCTACACTACCCAAAGCAATAGATTCTGCCGGAGGATCTGCCTTCATCCAGACACTTAACTATGTTTAGTAAATATTTGCATGCAAAACCTACAGATCAAAATGCCTGGGATGACAAGAAACATTTAAATACACACCCCTTTCAGCAACTGTCACTAAGTGTGTCTGCTGATGTAACTAAGGATTGTGCTTAAGCCCTCCTAGTCTAACCGGCTCTGTCAGGCAGGACAGCATGTCTCAATATCTCTTTTTGTTTTCATTTGGTTTTGAACATGTGTGGATGGGTGATCGCGCCTGTGTGCACATTACCGGAGACGGAGATCCATTCTTGCAGAGGGGACCTCTGAAGACTCCCTTAATGCCCCTGTAGTGCCCATTGCTGAGATGTCTGGAACTGATGACCAGGTAACAAGCCATGTGTGTCCTGGCTGGAGGAGCTGTCTCAACTCCTCACCAACAGGCAGGGAAATGCAGGCTGGCTTCTCAGCAGCAACAGTGAGTGCCACCTCCAGAGGAGAAGAGGCCAGCAGCAAGCGGGGAATGCAGAGCCCCTGTGCCCCTGCTTGTCGACCTGCGAGTGGCTCTCTCTGCCCACAGCGGTTGCTCGGACTGAGGCGGTGGTGGCAGCCCCAGAACACTTAGGGGGCCTGGCGAACCAGTCCTCATGCTGCTCTGACGAGGCGGTGCTCAAAAGCGGGCTGAAGATGCGCTTTTTAAAGGACAACTTCCTGGATCCACCAGGGAATCAGAGTCCTCCGCCCCTTTCCCCCACCCCTGCTGTCGCTCGGGATGCAGGCAGAGTAGGGTGGGAAAGCTCAGGTGCTAGTCAGCATCCTGCAGCCGCTGAGTCCCCAGGCTGCGGAAGTCGGGAAGCCGCAGATGCAGCCTGTGCGAGGAAGCGTGGCGCGGTTCTTCCGAGAGCCCCGGAGCTTCCCCTTCTGCAGTGTCCGGGAGAGGGCGAGCTCTAGGAGTTGGAGATGTGACTACTGCGCGGGGACAGTGAGCGTCCAGCTAGGAGCTGTGGGGTCTGGGTACAGGGAGAGGCTAGGAAAGATGACAGCTGCCACACTGAACTCACTGCTCCGCCTTCTGGAACCCGCAGCAGCAGTCTCTTAGTTCTCCTGCCCGGCTTGTGAACCAACTTTCTAAGGGGCTCCAGGGGGCAGACATCGGGCATGACTGGAGAGGACTGTGGAAGAAGCAGCAAGAGATCATTTCCTATAGGCTTTTGCCGCCTGCTCCTTCTAGGGCTCCCTGTACTGGGGGCCTCAATGGCAGAAGCAACAGCTTCCCAGACGCCTTTAGCCATGTAAAGGTTCTGCCCAGAGTCCATCAGATGCTCTATGGTAGCCAGTGTGTGGCATAGAGGAACTTTTAGGTGCCGAACTTACAGGAGGGGTAAAAACCAATGCTGAGGTTTGTGTGCGTATATATGTTTTCACACCTCTAGCTACAAAGGTTTGCTTACAGAAAACACATTCTCTGCCCGTTAAGACGCAGATATTTTGGTCGGTAGAGATCTTTGTTTCACCAGCCCCTAATAACTACCCTCTCTAATGTCTTTTGGCTAGTGTAAATTAAGCCACCAGGGAGCGAACTGAACCGAAAATAAAACATCTGTGCAAACAGAGAGAGAGAGAGAGAGAGAGAGAGAGAGAGAGAGAGAGAGAGAGAGAGAGAGAGAGAGAGAGAGAGAGAGAGAGAGAGAGAGATGGATGCTTTCACAGGTTGTAGGGGGAAGGCAAACGCCCTCTCCTGTGCCAAAAGCCAGCTGGGTGGAGCTGTGCAGTCCCTCTCTAACCCACTCAAATCAGGGCCAGAGTCGTCCAGTCTTGCTCATTCTGCTCTGGATTCCTTGAAACACTGCTGTTCTAGCTCACTTTATCTAAGTTTCCTCCTAGAGGTCTCTCTCTTCTCTTGCAGCGAGGAATCAGACTCAGTTGACATTTAGGACCTCTCACACATGACAGAAACATATAAAAATAAAATGTTATTTGAATATTTCCAGTTAAGGCAACTCATAAATTAGGGAAGGAGTGAGTTCTATTTTAACTTTTGTAGCTTCCTAATAAAAGATCGACTTTTGTTTATATTATTGAATGGCTTACTATCATGAATCTTTTATTTAAAAAAACACTTAGATGTATTGTATGTGTCATAGTAAAACTTTTAGATAAATTTTAGTTGGATGTTTTGGGAGCTTTTGAGTATGCATTTTGAGTTTTTTAAGGGATGGGAGAATTCTACATCCTCTTTACGCTTGAACTAAAAAAATGACTGAAACTTAGGTTGTCCAATGTAAACTTTCTAGGAAATTGGCTTTTAACTATCTTGATAAAACTTTGAACATCAACACGAATTCAACACATTCATCCACTTACCTGACATAATTACCATAACACCAACAGCATTTTAACTCCATGATACTTAATGAACTTAAAATGTAAAATGTCTTAGGAACCCATACTTTTCATATAAAAGTGTATTTGCAAATACTTAACCTACATAAACAGGTAAAAGCTTTCTTCCCTTTGGGGATTTTAAAAGAAGACAATATAGCTTAGTTTTCAACTATGTTTTGCTCTTGATAAATGGAAATAGAATCTTAAAGATAAACAATGTCACTTTCTATGAATACATTCCAAGGATATGGTGTCTTATTTATCAAACAAATACACTTTCAAATAAACTGCAATGATTTTAAGAATAAAACACATTTCTAAAAGCACTAGTGAGTTATAGAATATAAAACCAAATATTTCATCATATCATATTATGAATTGGTTACGTATCTTGTCCATTAGAACATCATCCTTTGCATTTGTCTTTTTCTCAAGAGAAAAAGTATTTGCTTTTCTAGTATTAAAATATTTGGCTAAAGTTTTCAAAACTTGTTAATTTTTTGAGGTCTATATTCTTTGCAAATAAATGGTACCACTTTGTCTTGCTATTTCAAGTAAGTTTTTCTTTGCTTTTGTGTATTTTCTACACACATATCTTAAAATATTGAGACAAAATTTGGCACATGTGTTATCTAGATTATTCAAATAATAATGATAATAATAATAAGAAGAAAAATCTTCCTTTTCTTGCCAGCTGTGGTTGCTGCCTCTTGGCATGGTACCATATTTAAAAAGTTCACCAGTGTCAGCCTGTATTTGAGACATGGTCCACTAAATGTAAATAACAAAAATACATATTCATTTGCTACAATAAAAAAGTTTCTCAGTTGTATTAAATTGTTTTTTGCAAAATAGGGTAGTCTAATAATTGAAATTTGTGGGGAAAATAAAATGAAAGTAAAGGATTTTAAAATATGCCTACACGAAGTCAATTTTAGTCATAGGTCAACACCATTACAACAAACACTATGAAAATCAAATATTATGCACAAATATGCATGGTCAATTTATGTTAAGCAATGTTTGATCTAAGGAATTTCATTCCATGGAAAGGAATATGAATAGCAAAAAGAAATGGACTTCAGACTGCAAGAAATTTGATAATCCATAGATTTAGATGATTGACAACATATCTCATATACACTCCATATCTCTTTATCATCTCACCCCACCTAAGTTTAGCATGTACTCTCTTAAATCCTTCACAAATTTCTTTTGCATGCATTTAGTAAATTTACCACAACAGCTAAACCAATATTGGACACTATTACCCAGATCTATGGATTACATTAAGATTCACCTTTTGTGTTATCCAACCTACAGTTTGGGATATGTATAATCTATTGCCATTGCATACATAATAATTTCAATGCTCTTGTAAGTCATCAGTGCTCCATCTACACATCCCTCCTCCTAGCTCTCTCAATCCCTTACAACTATTCATCTTGCAACTCTCTCTGGCGTTAACTTTGCAAGTATGTCATATCATTATAATATAAGAATCTTTTAGTGACATAATATCTCATTTAAATTTTATTGCTGAATAGTGGTCTACTATCTAATGGTTTAAATTGCGTCTTTTAAACAAAACATGATAAAATTTTAAACACCTTAAATATGACTTTATTTGGAAATGTTGTCTTTTCAGGGTAACAAGTTATGGTGATCATTAGGATGGACCTTAATCTGATCATGTTCTAGGAAGGGAAGCGATGGATGCAGAGGCATAGGCACATAGATAATAAAATCCACTTGGAGACTGCACTTACTATTTAATACTCCTGTGAATGTCAAAGATTACCAGCATATCACCAGACCCTAAGGAAGACTTGTGAGTGTATTCTCCATTGTTGTTCTCAGAAGGATTTTAAACTAGCAAGGCCTCAACTGCAGACTCCCAGCCTCAAGAATGGTGTGAAAATGAATTTCTGCAATTGAGCTACCCAGTTTGTGATAGTTTGCCGTTGAAGTCCCTAGGAAATAAGTTCATATCACTCTGTGTTTGTTTCTTAAACTGTTGAGGGACATCTTAGTGCTTCCTAATTTTGACATGGGATTAAAGCTGCTATGAGCATTCATGCTTTGGTGAAAGCTTCTAAATCTTTTGTCTAAAATGTTAGAAACTCCATCACTAGTTCTGATGTTCACTTTTGTAAGAATCTGTCAGCCGGTCTTCCAGTGGAACTCTTCTTGACTTTGTGTTTGCCAGTAATGGGTAAAAGTTGTTCTTAACTCTCTACCTTCACCAACACTTGTTGTCAACATTTTGATGTTTAACCATCTAAATGACTCTGGGCTATATCTCATTGTTTCAAATCTGAATTCTCTGGGGACTTGGGATGTCAAACATCTTTTCTATAATTGCTTGTCATGTTTCTTATTTTCTGGCTTGTATTTTGCTATTAACTTTGGTCCATTTTTAAATTAAGCTATGTGTAGTAGTTTGAACGTAATTGGCTCCCATAAGCTCATGAGGAGTGGCACTATTAGGAGGTGTGGCTCTATTGAAGTGGTTATGACCTTGTTGGAGGAAGTGTGCTACTGTGGGAATGGGCTTTAAGATCTCATATATGCTCAAGCTTACAACAGTACGTCTGACCACTTCCTGTTGTCTGTGAGTAAAGATGTAGGGCTCTCATTTCCTGCTCCAACCCCATCTCTGCTTTCATTCCACCATGTCTCATAATGACAATAATTGACTAAACCTCTGAAAATGTAACCAACCCCAACTGAATGGTTTTTTTTATAAAGAGTTGTTATGATCATGGTGTCTCCTCACAGCAACAGACACCCTACTAAGACACCATGTGATCCCTTACTGTAAGTTTTGTTTAGGAATCCTTTGTCTATGTTACATACTGATCCTTTATCAAATGTTGTTGAATTTTGTCCTCTTCCAAAGCTTGTACTTTCATTACTTAGTTGTATAGCTCAAAGATCGGGGTTTGTAATTTCAATGAGGCTGATATTTATCAATTTTTATGGAATATGCTTTTATTGTTACATTTACTAAGTTGTTCATAAACACCAAATCACCTAGATTGTCTTCTGTAGCTTTGCCTTTTGAGTTAAACCTTTGAGTCATTTTGAGTTAACATTTATGGAAAAGGAAATGCCAGTATCTCGATTCAATTTAAAAGATGTCCATATCCAGTTACAGAGCACATTTTATGCCCTTGATCCATTAAACTGCCTTTACTTCTTCATCAAAGTCAATTGACCATAATAGTATAAGTTATTTCTGGTATTTGTAGTTGGTTCTCTTGATTTATCTAGTCTTTCATCAAATCATGCTATATAACATCATGCTCAACATTATAAGAACATTTTAAGTCTTTCAA